TAGTTCCTATCTCTTGCCTGGTTAGAGCAGTAAAGAGATTCAAGCTGTGGGTTAAAAGTATCTTACAATGTAAGTAGTATAAAGTGAGTTTATCTATACCTGCTAAATTCATACAAGAAAAAACAATAGCCTTCAAAAAAAAAAATACTGTGTTGGCAAGAAGACCATACTGGACCTTGTTCAGTCCTCCCAAATTAGTTGCCACTGTCATGTTCTCAGTATAAAAGCAGAAATTCAACAGACTCAGTCCAGAAGCAATATTACAGACCAAGAATCAGTAGACTGACTGAGCCAGAATGAGGGACTCATATTTTCATACTCTGTTTAGTTCTCCCCCATTGTAAGAGAATGAAAAAAAAAAAAGTGCAACATATTTTCTGCCTTTAGCACAAGATAACATTGAAAAAAGACAAAGGAGAGCAAGAATTGTTTTATTTTTCCTGAGTCACATAAGAGTGAAATACTTTTTATTTTAGGATGAAAAGATTTAATTTGCACTAACTGGTTGTTATGCTTAACATCTGAGAAAGCAGCCAGAAAGGAGAAAGGAAGTGGTTGCCCGAGTGAGTATAAAAAAATGTTGGAGCTCGTGCACATATATTCGCCATTATCAGAGCAATGCTATTTGGACTATCACCCAGCTCTTCCAAGAAATACCTTAAAACATACTTTTTTCTCCAAAAAATGGTCTATTATTTTTGAATCCAACTCAAAAAACATTTTGAGTTTAAGCATCTTAAAATGAACCTAGTTTCCTCTCCTGGCGGTGGGCACAAGTAGGAAGTCAGAACTATAAAAACAATGTAAAATCAGCTTCTATGAGACCTTCACCCACCTAGAGAGTGAGCAGCTTTTTACTCCATAAACTGGTGAGTGATTACCAAGGTCAGTCTACAGGCAGTTAACAGCCTGGGCATATATGACATGCAATTTCTTGCCTTATTGTCTCATACAATCACTCACACAACTCATACATACATTCATTTTAGAAATAAAATTTAGCTTTCAGAGAAAAGTTAGCATGTTCTTCTGTAGGAAGCTAGGAAGAAAGTGCAATAGGCAAATAATAGGTCCTTCTTGAGAAATATTCATAAAGATTTACATTAACTCTTTTGCTGTTAAGGTTCTTACCGATGTACTCATTCCTGCAACAATGCAAGAAATGCCTGAAAGGTATGTTTGCTTAAAAAATATGATTATAATGTGTAAGTTTTCACCTTACACACTATATTGGGTCATCAGGGAAGTCTTAATGTATTTTTGCATAGAAAAATATAAGAAAATATGTTACAACTTTCCCAACAACCTAATATTTAAAGAACACATTGGGCAGTAATTCATTTATATACCAAGATTATTTTTCTGATTCTGTTCCTTTGTATCAGTTGTAGAAGATGTGCCTCAATCCTGCCCCCTAAGGAAGATGGCCATGTTACAATACCTTCTCCTTTCTCCTCCTGGGATTTTGGGTGTATACACACACACATGCCCAGTGTGATTTTCAAACTATTGAGTCCACGACTTGAACTGTGGTTGCCCATCTGGGAGTCCAGCATCTTAACCACTCTACCACCTGGTAGCCCCAGTCTGAAGACTTTTTACAAAACCTTTTTTCAATGTGAGAACAATGGAAACTTGAACAAATTGTAATGAAATCATGGAATTTATTTCAGTATTTTGGGGGCAAAATTCATGTAGGTTTGGACTGGTGCTCAAAACTACATGTTGATTGATTTTTAAAAATGTATTTTTCTATTTACTTTTCCCTCTAATTGATTTACTTTTGCAGTTGAGATTTTTCTGGTCAATAGTTTCTTTTAGTTACCAATTGTAGTCTTTAAACATTTCATCTATACTCTTGATCATATATACCTAACACTGTTATATCATAGCAAAATGGCTGTGCTTATTTAGTGCTAGGCATCTAACCACATGACTATTTAAAATAGTAATAATAGCTGACCTTTATTAAACACAGCGTAGGCTTTACAAATATTATTTCATTTAATGTCTATGATAAGCTTGACATATTCACTGTAGAAAATGAAAAATATAAGTGCATTTTAAAAATCACTCAATCTCAGGGCCAGCAGATGCCGTAGCAGTTACATCACTGGACTCCCACATGGTTGACCACAGTTCAAATATCAGATCTGGTGGCTTGAAACTCATGCCAGGCACCTGTGCATGTATGCCCAAGATCCCAGGAGGAGAATGGAGGAGAAGACATTGCAGCATGGTCGTCCCTCCTGGACAATGATGTCTCACTTTCCCTCTCACTGTCACTGTCTCTGTCTCTATTTCTCTCTGGTAAGCATACATGCCCTAAGGCAAAAACTCCTACCCCTCAACAGAAAGAAAACCATTCATTTCACCACATTCTTAATGTTTTAGATTATTTTCTCCCAGACTTGTAAAATTTGCTATAGGGCATGTGTGCTCACCAAAGAGAGAGAGAGAGAGACAGCACCCCCAGTGGAGTGTGATCATATTGCAATTCTTTTCCCCCCATTTTTCCATCTTATCATATTTGGGTCACTCATGCACACATACCCCATGTATTTTTCAATGAGATTTGAACTCTGGTCTACCACATGGGATCTGGCTCTCTTAACTGCTGTACTATGGGGCTGGCCTTCTCTCAGATTTTTTTCTAAGCATGTCTGTAAATATATTCCATTATAAAATGTAGCCATAGTATACATACTATAGCAGTATACTGTGAAATCTTTCCATATCAATACATATAGATCAATGTTATCTTTTTAAGTGTTTGCATACATTTATGGCACCTCAAAAATACTATAGTTAATGAATTTCTTTTAGAAAAATTGGACTTTTTTTTTTTTTTGATGCCAACCTCTCAGACTATTTCAAAGTGGCTATTATGATCCCAACTTCACCAGTGAGGAACTTGGGATCAGAGATAAATTTCTTTATTTTGCCAGAGGAAGCTGATTAGTGAGAAGTGGAGCCTAGGTGTCAGTCAAAGTTTATTTAACTCCAAACTCTTCTGACCCTTTTTCATGTATATGTCACTGCTCCCCAACTTATACAGCATCCCCAATATGTTTAGATTTGTTTTGTTGAGATAGAGTATGTAGGTTTTGACTGATTTTTAAACTTTTTATATGTTATTTTAATGTATATACAACCAATATTTACAAAGTTGGGACCTGTAACTAGGATGCTGTGATAGTTTATATCAGAAAGTTACACTATAAGAATATGTTACTAGAAATTAATATTAAAACAAATAAAACGATAATATGATTCTAATGTTCTGTCTCTCAAGAAGCCAAGATATATAAAATCAAGTGTACATTTACATTTTTCCAGAGATATTTCATAAAATGGTTGAATCATGAGTTGAAAATTAATAGCAAACTATTAGTTTTTGAGCACTCCCTGCCTACCAGACTTTAACCTGGCATTTTCCATGAATTACTTCTTATAATCCTCACAAGAATCCTATGACACAAATATCATCTTTATTTTTATTTAACAGGTGAGGAAACTGGAGCTTGTAGAGATTGTTTTGACTTAAATGACAGAGCTGGCAACTTCTAAAGTCATATTCTTGGAAGCATAAAATAATAGTGCACCCCCATTAAAATACCTGTACAGAATGCATATTTGAATCATGCAGCACTTAATACATCATTTTTTTTTGTAGTTTATTAGCAGACATCAGAAATTTTGCCAAAAATTGGGAACAGTGGGTTGTTTCATCCTTGGAAAACTTGCCAGAAGCGCTGACTGAAAAGAAGATACCTATTGTGCGAAGATTTGTATCTTCCCTGAAACGACAAACATCTTTCTTACATCTTGCTCAGGTACGTTGGCAAGCTGAGAGTAGTTCAGACACTGAATCAAAAGTGAATCTTTTGATGAGGAAAGATCGAGGAACTGCCACAGAATGAAGGTAACCAAGTAGACAACAATTAGATGAAATGTGAGATACTACAGGTGGTGGTAGAAGAGAAAAGGGACATTAGTGGGCAAACCAGTGAAATTTGAATTGAAGCTATAGTTCATTAAATTGTATTGCACTAATGTTAGTGTCCTGATTTTATAACATACAAGAAAATAGGAAGTTGGGTGGAGAATATATAGAAATATTCTGCAACATCTTTTCAGATTTTTTATGATTTAAAATTGTCTCAGAATAAAAAGTAAAATAAATACATTATGAATACAGTAAAAATGTGAAAAGCCACAAGAATTCAACTGGTAAAAATTACAACCATGGGGAATAAGCCCATATAATATTTGATGCTGTAAACTCACAAACCCAACACATTTTAAACTACCTATTAGTTATGGCTCTAAGTAGGGAAGAGTGAAAGTAAATTAGGAATATCACTTTGTATCTTCTCAAAATATACTTCTTCCCTGAAATGATTATTTGTCTTAGGAAGGTTTCTAGCTCCCAGAATTGTGAAGAGCCAGCTTGAGATAGTTCCAGATTTAAAAAAAAAAAAAAAAGTACAACCTCTAAAAATTTTTCTTTTCTGACCACGGACCAAAAAAAAAGTCATTCTCATTTTCTAAGTCCAAAATAAATTGCAAGCCTTTAATAGAGATGATTGTAAGTTTCAGTTATTGCTTTCGGTTTTAAAATAAAAAACTTTATTTGTAGCATTTTTTCTTGAGAAACTATTTTTTCTTGAAGTTAAAACTTTCCCCTAGCTAGATTATGAATGATACAGCTTTTTCACTTTCTCTGTGCAGATTGCCAGACCAGCTCTCTTTGATCAGCATGTTGTGAATTCTATGGTATCTGATATTGAAAAGGTTGACTTGAATAGTATTGGATCTCAGGCTCTTCTTACCATCTCAGGCAGCACAGACACTGAATCTGACATCTACACTGAACGTAAGTTCACTCGCTTTGTTTAGAACAGCGTGACCCAACCTTGGCACTATTGGCACCTCGGACTAGATCATCTTTTGTTATAAGTGACTATTCTGTGTGTTGGAGGGTAGTTAGCAGCATCCCTGACCTCTACCCACTGCATGCTGTAACTCCCTTCCCCCAGTTGTGACGATCAAAAATGTCAAAGACATATGAAAAAATGCTCAACATTCTCTGCCATAAAAAAATAATGAGACCCTGGCATTTGATAGAAAGTGGACAAATATGAAAGATTTAATACCAACCAAAGCAAGTCAGGCTATGAAAGAGAGGTATTGTATGTCCCCCCCTTAATATATATCAAATGTCTGCACTCCCACAGAAATGGAAAGATCAGAAGGTATAAAATCAGGGAGGGCAACTGTGGGTACTAGAGATAGTGTGGGAGGAGGGTGGGGAAAGGGGAGGGGGAGAGGGAATCAAGGAGAAAAACAAAACACGTAACAGACACAAAAATGGAAAAATATGTTGATTGTAATGTGTATAGCAATATCTTTGAATGGACTAATAAACAGCATATTCATTCCGGGAAATTCCATTTTGTATGCTGTAAAGGTATACAGTGGTTGAACGTAAAAAAAAAATTTAAAAAAGAAGAAAAAGAGGAAGAGAAAAGAAGAAAAATATATCTCCAGATTGCCAATCATTCTGGGCTACAATTATATCTATTTTGCATAGAAAAACAGGAAAATATTTCGTGTCTTTTTCAACAACCCAATATTTGAGAAACCCTGCTTTATAGAAACCTGGATTTTTTTTTAATGATTATTTATTTCTTTCTCTTGCGATAGAGGCAGGAACACCCCCTTCCCTGAGGAAAACAAACAAAGGTCTTTACACCAGGATCCATCCCTCAGCCTTAGGCAGCACAGATTGCAACCTGTACCTGTGTACTTGCATGTGTGGAGGGACCCTGACGTGCAAATTCAGGACCTTCCCATGTGGGACGAGTGCAGAGTACTGTGTACTATTGCTCTATTGCTGGCCCTTATAGAAATACTTGCATATGAAAAACATTGTTTTCTATTTAAAAATAGTTGGGGGGGGGCAGCAGATGGCATATGGTGGTTAAGTTGCTGGATTCGCACATGGCGATTGAGGTTCAAGTTCTGGATCTGGTCGGTTGGAAATCACACCAAGTACGAGTTTATGCATGACCAAGATCCCAGAAGGAGCATGAAGGAGAGGGGATTGCGTCGTCGTTATCCACCCTGGGAAGTGATTTCTCACTTTCCTTCTCACTATCTCTGTTTCTGTATCTCTAGGGAGCGTACATGCCATAACGCCAAAATGACTATCCCCTCCCCCCAACAAAAGGAAAAAAAAAAAATAGTTGCACTTCCTCATTGTGGAAAACCTGGAAAATACAGGAAATATGGGAGAAACAAAAGTAAACTATAATCTCATTGCTTAGAAATAACTTAGAATAATCAAAATGATTTTGAGTTTCATAAGTTTCTTCCAATTTTACATGTTTACACATTTATATATGTTTTACACTCCTGTCATTGTATGGTATATGACATATATCAAAACAATATTGCGGGAACCAGCAGTTAGCGTAATGGCTATGTCGTTGGACTCCCACGTAGTCGATGGCAGTTCACGTCCTGGACCTGGTGGCTTAAAACTCACGCTGGGCATGTGTGCGTGCGTGCCCAAGATTCCGAGAGGAGAATGGAGGAGAAGGGATTGCGGCGTGACCATGCCCCCTGGGGGGGTGATTTCTCGCTTTCTGTCTCTATGTCTCTGTCTGCCTGTCTGGTGAGCGCATGTGCCCTATATGAAAAACCACCCCCCCCCCAAAAAAAAGACAATATTGCAATACAATACAATACTGTTTTCCAAGAAGAGACTCTACTCTGCCTTGGACCATCTGGCAGAGCTTTCCAAGCCAATAAATGTGATTAGAACTAGGCTTGATCTCCCAGGAATAACAACCCATATTTTTCCTTTCTGAAATAAATATGTACATACATATATATATATAGTCTTGTAAAGGCTATAGCACAAATGATGAACTATTTTCTGGGGTGCAACCTCAACCCTGGTTTTTGTTTCCTAACATAAAATTGTATTACCCTTTGAGATTCAGTAAACCTCAAACTCTATAATAAAATGACTCTTAAACTCTGCCTTCTAATTTTTTTTATGAAAAAAATTACATATGTGGCCCAATTCCATGGTGTAGAATTTAATTTTTACCAAAGATATTTCAAAAAGCAATAAAATCAACAAGTTTAGCTTGGATAATTCATTATATTTTGTTTTGTTAATTGCCAGAGAGTACGTGTGCTCACCTGAAACAGAGAGGCAAAGAGAGGGAGAAAGCGCTCCTTAATGGGGAAGGTCCTGCCACAACTCCTTCTCTTCCATTTCTCCATCTTGTCAGGACTTGGGCATGCATGCACATATTTCTAGTGTGTTTCTCAATCTGCTAAGGCCAGGATTTGAACCACGTCAGCCATATGGGATCCAGCTTCCATAACCACTAGGCTACAAGACCAGCCTCATTTATTAGTTTTTAAGTAGTCTGTTTCATTTCATGAATACACTGAATTCAAAGTGAATACTAGCTATATTAACAGCTTACTCTCCTCTAGCATATGCACATACATATATAAAACCTGTTTTTCAATGTATTTTAAGATGCATACATTTACACATAAACTTTATATTTTTTTTTGGGGGGGGAGGGTCAGAGGATGTGTGCACTTGCCAGAGAGAGACAGGGAGACAGAGAAAGGAGAGTGAGAAAGTGTGTGCCTCCCCCTGCTCTCTCCCTACAAACACATACAGTGAGGTCATGCTGCAATCCCTTTTCCTCCATTTTTGTAGCCATGCTGGGATTTGGGAAATGCATGCACTTGTCCTTGACGTGTTTTTCAATCCCCTATGGCTGGGATTTGAACCATCTAGTCAGCCTTATGGAACCTGACATTTTAGCCACCAGGCCTCAGGGCAAGCCCTATTCATGATTAAAAATTTTAAGAGTAGATTATTGGGCATGTTTTTCCTTACTGTTCTTAGGATATGAAAGTAACTTATTTCACACATTTAACTTGATCTTTCTGTCTTATGCTACAAAATTCATAATGATTTCTAGTTTTAAGTTTTCTCTTGGTTTCAAAAATAGAATGAAATAATCTGTGTTCTTTCTTTTTTATTTTTTCATTTCTATTTTTTGTTTTTAATATGATAGAGGACTCTATTACTGTGTTTCAAGAACTTAAGGATCTCCTTAAGAAGAATGCCACTGTGGAGGCTTTCATTGAATGGTTGGATACTGTGGTAGAACAGAGAGTTATTAAGGTACTTTTTAATGACATATTTAGAAATTTTTGTTGTTGTTGAGTAAATGCTAAACTGGCTATAATTTCATGACTAGTTGGGGAGGGGAGGCAGGTTGTCAAAGTACTTCGGAAAGCTTTTGAAACTCTGCAAATATAGCAGCCCACATATCAAAAGTAGGAATATGGCAGGTTTTAGAGGACTGGTTATGGGTTTAATCCTTTTTCTCCTTTACCAGGCAAGGACTTCAAGATGCTATGCCTTCTCTATCAGTCAATAATGGTATGGCTGAGTAACACCAGTTCTGAAAGACGAACTTAGAAACTGAAAGGATATGGCTTTTCTAAAAAGCAAGTTTTCATATATGGTGACAGAAAATATGGTTTTAAACATTTGCATTTCTGAATTCTAGAAGCTCAGTATTTTGTCTTTTCTATGTGGTTTCTTCAACTCTTTCAGTTAACCTTCAAGTCATCCATCAAGAAACAAGGCAATAAGAACAAATACATCCCTTACTACTTGGTGTTAGCCATTCCATATCAAGGAAACTGTAGTTTGGGTACTTTTTCCCCTAAAAGAAAAACATTATCGTTCAGGACCAGAGAAGTCAGAGTTAATCATTCACAGAAATTTGTAACCCTTCACATTTCACCTTTTGTTCTTTCTAAAACTCTGTCAAAGAAAAATTAAAAGATAAAAATATTTCCTAAATTACTTCATTTTCTCATCTAATTCTATTAGAAAACAAGGCTACATTAAGATAAATATGTACTACTTCTGACAGCAAGGACAGGCAAAAATTAAAATCCCTGGGTAGATTATTTTATTTGATGAAATAAATGACATGCCACCTGTCTGTTCGTCAGAGAGTTGATCTTTTGATTTAATGTAGGATATATGTAGTAATAAGATGACAGATTTTATAGTCTCATTTTGTTCCTTTCTTTTTAGACCAGCAAACAAAATGGAAGATCATTAAAGAAGAGGGCTCAAGACTTTCTGCTAAAATGGAGTTTCTTTGGTGCTCGAGTAATGCATAATCTCACCTTGAACAATGCATCCAGTTTTGGTATCCTATAAAAACTCATATATAAAGACTTTATAAAACTCCTCTTAAATGGATTATAAAATTTGTTTTCCAGTCATAATTCCTGTCAATTTTTAAACACGTTATATTGTGACTTCTCACAACCTATTTGAATATTGAGCTAGTACAGAATGATATTATGAGCCTTGGTTTTGTAGTTAGACCACATGGACAGTTAAATCCTAACACTGCTTCTTAATAACTGTGGACCTCATTCAAGTCACTGTGCTCATTAAGGAAAGTGAGGACTATTCTTTTCATAGGACTGTATAGACACTTTACCGAGATGATATATATATATAAACACATTGCCCAGCACTTGATAAACAATGAATATCAGTAAGTGCTATCATTACATTTTATCAGTGACTGGATAATTTTTTTGTTAAACAAACAAAAACAAAGAAATAAACAATGAATAAGACATTATTTTCTCAAGGCACTACTAATTGTAATATGGCAAAGTTTTGTAACTTTTCTGGTTACCCACATAACTGCACATCAGGAATCAAAGCGCAGCTTAGAAGACACACTCATAAGAATTTGTGAACCATCTTTCCTAATCTATATGACTTGTGAAACAAATTGGATCAAATTAACTTTTTCAAAAATTGAATACCTTCATTTTCCTAAAATTTCTGAGATTCCTATTTTGTAATCATAATGCTAACTTCATGGGCAGTAGCTTTCATTTAATAATTGCATTTCAAGAAATCTTTACATCATAAAATAATGAACTAAATTATTTATTATTTAATGGTCAATGGAATTAAGTAAAATTAATGAATTTGTATTGAGAGATGAACAAACTGGTTGAATTTATTATCTGAAATGCTCATATTTAAGATTTCTTAAAATGCAGTTTTGATACCTGAGTTTATAATGAAAACCAACTTTTGTTGGGATATCCATTGTAGAGTTAAAAGAAGTTTAAGACTTTCCTGTATAGCTTTCATAAGACCATAACTCTTCTGACTCAATTTTATTTTAAAATCAAGCAATATTTTGTTTCAAGTGAAAAAGACATCTCCTTACATGGCACCTTTTCCAGACTGTGTTGGCCGTTGTCTAATTATTTAGTAAAAGTAAACAGAAATGGAGCAGAGTAGAGCTCATTCTCCTCAGGTTAAAGCTTATCATACTCCAGTGTGTGCCCTCTTAAAGCATAAAGCATGTCTCACTTTCATCCGTATTTTCCTTTGATGTAATTAGTGGCCAAAGAGTTGGCAGGACAGTACACATAGTGAGCTGGGCAGGCGGTACTCAGAAAGATTAGAGACCCAAGTTAAGCATGTTGGTCTTAGCAGGTCATTTAAAGTCCAACAAGTATTTGTTTATTTCAGTTGCTCCTTGTAGAGTGTTGGGAGATGGTCACAAAGATAACTGAACTTCTGTCTCAATCTTTTTCCCTCTTTTTCTCTTACCCTCCTCCATTTTTCCCCCATCTCACAATTTCTTCTCTCTATTCCCCATTCATAAACAAGGTTCTTTCCATTTAATCCGAATGCTTCTTGATGAATACATTCTCCTGGCCATGGAGACCCAGTTTAATAATGATAAAGAACAGGAATTACAGAATTTATTGGACAAGTATATGAAGAATTCAGGTAATTTAAAATAACCTTCTTGTTTGTATATTCCTTTGTTAAACCTAAGTTCATTAATACTTAGTGCATATTTTAAGTGGATTTATAAAAGTCTCAGAGTTTTCCTTCAAACAAGTTATTAACACACATGAGGGCACTTCAAAAAGTTTCTGGAAAAATGAAATCAAAATAGGGGTATATTTGGGTGCAAAGTCTTTTTGAAATCCATTGTATTTTTTTATAATACACATTTTAGGTGAACTGTTTGAAGACACCTCATATACTCACATTATGAAATGCAATATTTTATTTTCTCTAGTTATACATAGACTTGTCAAAGTATTATATTAGAACCTCTGAATGATTCAAAATCAGTCTTCTTAATTTCTGGGAATTGAGATAAATTAAAAGAATTGACTATAATTCAAGACAGCATGTGTGGTTTACTGCACATACAAATGGTGTTGAAAGAGGTTCTATAGGAGTCTAGAGGAGGAAGGGAATGTGTCTATCTGAGATGAGATAACTTGCATTTTTTCTTTTTTGGAGAGATTTTTGCTATAGGGTATGTGCACTCACTAGAGAGACAGAGAGAAACAGAAAGTGAGAAATCACCCCTCATTGGGGATGGCCATGCTGCAGTCTCTTCTCCTCCATTCTCCAGTTGGGATTTAGGGCACATACACACATGTGCCTGGCATGAGTTTCAAGCCTCCGGGTCCAGGACTTGAACCATGGTTGGTCATGTGGAAGTCCAGCAACATAATCATTATGCCATCTGCTGGTCCTGACAACTTACATTTTGAAGACTGTTCACTCCAACATGGATTATTCAGTGTCTCTCAGAACACATCTGTAACCACAAATACTTCAACAATGAAAACTATAACCACTGCCAAGAATATAGGTTTCCCATGGTAAACATTGCTTATGTGTTTCCAAGTTAATTACTCAACCATGTACCATTTCAGTTATGTTAACTTGAGTTTATTTACCAGAAATATGGGAATAATCTCATTTTTCCTATTTTAAAAATCTTTCCAGATGCAAGTAAAGCTGCTTTTACTGCCTCTCCAAGTTCATGCTTTTTGGCCAACCGTAATAAAGGGACCTCGATTTCCAGTGACGCTGTCAAGAATGAAAGTCATGTGGAAACAGCCTATCTTCCCCTGACATCTGGTCAGCCTGGAGCCTTGCCCCCTGCTCTGCATACGTTCCCTGCTGGGAATGCAGACAACATGCCACTTGCAGGTATGCTGTGACATCTCAGAGGAGCCCATCCCTTCATTTTCCTTAAAAATCATAACCCAAGAATAAAAAAAGGATTATCTTAACTGACTTTTAATAAAGATATATATTATCAGCAATTATTTTCATTATTAATATAGGTATCACCTTTATGCACATTATTCAATAAGTTATATCAAAAGTTTACATAATTATCCTTATTTAGAAAAAGAAAAAATTAAATTGGGTACACATAAAATTCTTACGATGCTTGGAAGGTCAAAAATGGGCTGCTTATTATTTTTGGCTTTTGAGTAGACTTTATTTTTCAATATATATTTGGCCATTCCAGGGTAATTATCACAATAGCTTTAAACTAGTAGTTTCAAACTAATAGTTGCCCTTTTAGTCTAGGGTCCCCTTTGTGTCAAAACGAATGTTTAAGATGGCAGTTGTGCAGCAGTAACACAGCATTCTGCAAAGCTCAGCCCATGTGGGAAGGTCCTGGGTTTGTTTCATGAGGTCTCCCTGTGCACTCCAGGCACACACTTGCCCGCCTCTGATCCTGGTTGACTGAAGCTGGGAATGAATTGCAGATTGAAGACTCTATTAGTGATGTACCTTTCTCTCTGTGCGTGTCTCTGTGTCTTTAGCTCTCTCATGGAAAAAGCAAATAAATTAACTTTAAAAAGTAAAACTAAATGAATTCTTAGTGACTTGAATTAACTACCGGAGAGTATTTTCAATCTGATTATTGCCTTATGTATTTTTCCCCCTTAATTGCCAGATGGCACATGTCAGAGAGAGATAATGAAAGAAAATACCACCCAAGAGAATGTGGTCATGCTACAACTCCTCATCCTCCATATCTCTATCCTGTCAGAATTTTGGGCACACACTTACACATGCCCAGTGTGTTTTTCAAGTTTCTGGGGTCAGAATTCAAACCATAGTCGGTCATGTGAGATCTAGCTCCCTTAACCACTAGGCCATGGGGCCAGTCCACCTTATGTCTTTTAAGAAAATCCTTTATATCTATTACTCCATTGGACACAGAGAATTTTCTATGTCCTGGAAAGACCTCATACATGAGTTTCATTGCACCAGTGGAAGAGCAGAGGCCCAGGAAATATGTGACTTTCATAAATCACCTTGCTCATCAGTGGTGTTTGCATGATGCTTTGCATAAACTTCCTTGAAGCCATTGCCACTTTGACAGAGTTTTTTGTTTGTTTTCTATAGGCACGTGCACTTCTGGAGAGAGACAGAGTCAGTGAATGGAAAAGTGAGAAATCGCCTCATAGGAGGGATGGCCATGACAATCCCTTCTCCTCCTTTCTCCTCCTGGGATGGAATTTTGAGCATGTATGTACATGCGCCTGGTGTGATTGTCAAGCCTCCAGGTTTGGGACTGAAACTATGGTCATTCCTGTGGGAGTTCAGGAACTTAACCACCATGCCACCTGTTGGCCCCCAGTGCCTTTTCCTTTTACTCTGAAAATCAAACTATTCAATATTCAGCTTGTCTTTTAATTATGAAGAAATGTGAGAAGATTCCCTCACCCTTCCTAAATGTGAGTTCTAACCATTTTTATACCCACATAAGCCTAAAGCCCAATACCGGACTTTCCTCTGTAGTCACCTACTAATTCCAAGTGTCCAGCGTTGTGAGATATATATACACACACACAGACACATATATATAACATATATCTAAACATATATTTATATATGTCTTGTAATAACACTTTTTTAAAAATCTGGATATGTTTATTGTTTTCTGGTTCAGTTATTTTTGGAGAGTACAAATAAACCAAGTTAGAATAAAAGTTATATTAATAATTTTTGAATATTTTTAAAGGTATGTATCCATTTGCTTTAATAAACCACTAGATGAATGTTCTATAAATTTTTTTCCAGGTCAAATGGACCTTTCACAGGGTGCTGGCCATTTGATGACACCACCCATTTCTCCAGCCATGGCAAGCCGAGGAAGTGTCATTAACCAAGGGCCAATGGCAGGGAGACCCCCAAGTGTGGGCCCAGTACTATCGGCTCCGTCACACTGCTCAACATATCCAGAGCCCATTTATCCTTCTCTCCCTCAAGCCAACCATGACTTCTATGGGACCAACTCGAACTATCAGACTGTATTCAGGGCACAGCCCCACCCCCCATCAGGACTCTATCCTCATCGTGCTGAGCACAGTCGATGCATGTCCTGGACTGAACAGCAGCTTTCTAGAGACTTCTTCAGTGGCAGCTGTGCTGGGTCTTCGTATAATTCCCGGCCACCTTCCAGCTATGGACCATCTCCTCATACTCAAGATTCACACAGTATGCAGTTTTTAAATACAGGAAGCTTCAATTTCCTCACCGGGACAGGTGCTACCAACTGCCAGGGAGCAACATTGCCTTCTAATTCGTCTAACGGTATTGAAATTTTAAAAGAAGTTTCCCCACTTTTGAAATGGCATTAAGGCAAAATCAGACACTGAATTGCCCCTCTGCTGTGTAGTGTGCTATCCTACATAAGGTTCTGAAGATCATGGAATCTTAAACATTTGGAGCTGATTCACCACATACCAATGCATTTTCTTTCTTTTTTAAAAAAATAATTATTTTATAACTCAATTAATTAATTAATTAATTTTAATCTTGAGCAGAGAGGGACAGAGCGAGAGAAAGCGAAAGAAAGGTAAAGTGAGAAATCAAGCCACCTGGTCCTGGACCGCAGTCGGCCATGTGGGAGTCCAATGCCCTCAACCACCATACCACCTGCTGGTCCCACAAATGTATTTTTATTTCTTATGTTGCCCTTCTAAAGGCTGTAAGTTGTGTGTGTGTGTGTGTGTGTGTGTGTGTGTGTGTGTATGTGTGTGTTTCTATTTGCCAGAGGGCACATGTGCTCGTTGCAGAAAGTGAGAAAGCATCCTTCTTTGGGGGATGGTCACACTGTAATCCCTCTCCAGTTGTCTATCCTTTCAGGATTCTGGGCACACACACACATGCCTGGCATGTTTCTCAAGCTGCCTGATCTGGGACTTGAACGATGCAGTTGGCTATGCGGGACCAGCTGCCCCAACCACTAGGCCATGGAGCCAGTCCACCACATATAATTTTTTTAAAAAATTATGTCAAACCATATGCTAGAGACCAACATTAACACTCCCAAAGAAGAATGATCTGTCCTTTGAAAACATTTTTAGTGGATAATGTTTCTTCCTCGGAACTAAAGCCATATTTTAAATATTGAGAGAAGAACAGTGCTCCCTATTAGGCCAATAAAAACCTGAAGTTAAGGGAGCTGGAAAAAGCCGTGGTCTTTTTCAGCCACCAAAATAGTATGGATTTTTTAATGCCTTTTTCCTAAGCGTAGGCCAGTCCTTTTCCTTTAAATATGAGTCTATATGTAAACATTATGTTTGAATATTTGTGAGAGGTTAATAGTGCTTTGTTCTTTTTTTAAAAATAGATCCCGTTACTTTAAATAAGAGCAATATGAAAGGTGTCTGTATTCCAAAATTTATATGACAATTTCTATGTGCTTTAAAAAAACACCCCAAAACAGCGTAGTAAGCCATACCTGTACATAAGCACAAATCCAGCCGTACAGGTTTAGTAAATATAGACACAAATGTCATATTTATAGCTAATATCTTTAGAGCTCTATTCAATTCTTTGTCCTACCTGGGACCTTTTTGTAATGAGGTAAAAGCACATTCTCAACACTTTCTGTTACAGGATACTATGGGAGCAATATAAACTACCCAGAGTCTCACAGACTTGGATCCATGGTGAATCAGCATGTCTCGGTGATCAGCAGCGTCCGCTCACTGCCTCCCTATAGTGACATCCACGACCCACTGAACATTTTAGATGACAGCAGTAGAAAGCACACCAGCTCATTTTATGCAGACACCTCATCTTCAGTTGCATGTCGAACTCCAGCAGTAGGTAAGTTGTTTGAAGAGTTCTTGAAAACATTTAAAAATGTCATTAATCACAGATATGTAGGATTATTCCAGGGAGATGCATTGAGGTGAACTGGGCATGTGTGTTCCCTCAGTTGATACACTACTTTGGAGCTGAAGTTTTATTTTTGTATCTGAATATACTGTTAATAAAGATGTTTTGTTTTTCATTTCTCCCTGCAGTGAAAGTTATTGCCAGGTCTATTACATATTTTTTTTAAAAGGAACAGCTGGGATCTATTACATATGCAAAAAGTTAACATAAACTGTCAAATACAGTCTAAAAGACAGTAAGTTTTACGAGGGCAGTAATGAAGTCTTTTTCTCACTCTTAGTAACCATTGAACCCACTGGAAGTGCCAAGTGGTGTCTTTGGGCCTCATGATCACCATCAGTATCTGAGAACTACTCCAAGGTTTTAAAAAAATGGTATCCTTTGATGGGGGACTACTAGCATTTTACCAACTTTATGTAAAATGTCCTTTAGCACTTTTGTAGAAAATGTTGCTATTTTTATTGTCCTATAATATGTAAAATTGAGAAAAACCATGAAGTCTTTTAGCAGCTTCTGCCAACCAGGGTGTCTTCTCTAAGCTTCACCTATGAAGAAATTCTGCAGCTTGCACTAAATGCATCATCACCACCTAGCAGAGTGTCTACCACACATTAGAACTTGATAAACCAATGAGTGAAAATCAGTGAGTGTTAAATAAGTAAAAGGTAGATCTATACATAGATTTGATCTCTAAGAAACTAAACATAACATATTGGTCTCTAAGAGGCCAAATCTGTGTATTAACTTAGTTTCTAAAGTTACAAATAAATTATCACAGGGCAAGCATATATGCATTAAATAGCAAGCAGAATATTAGTGTTTATATGAGATGATTGAAATCTTCCAATGCAACTTATTCCAGACTAGTGTAAGGCATTGGCATTGACATCCAAACAGAGCATATAAGAAAATGAGATAAATTCCATCTCTCTTCACTCAGTGTACTTTTCCAATAATTCAATAGGAAGCACTTCTGTTCCTGTGACCATCACAGATGCTCTCGCAGCACATCTCTTGCTATCTGCTAATGGTCATTGCTTCTAGGTTACTCTAATGAAGCAGAAAATTCCACTTCAGGAAGTTTCCTCACTGTGAGACTAAAATGTACTGTGTTGCTATTGTTACTATTAGTTCTATTTACCTGTAGAGATAGTGGAAGCTTTGCTAGAACATAGGTTGGGGGTAGAATGGAGTCTACGCTTTCACTGCCAGAGCTGACTTACAAGTAAGTTGCAAAGTGGGCTCCAGGGTGAGAAGGAATACAGTAAGTGGGCAAATAGTACAGGAAGAACAACACTCACTGTAGGCTTCCCAAGTTACAAGGCTCCCTTCTTAGTGACAGAAAACACATCTCTCCAGCAATAGGAAGGCAGCAACAGACCGTGAAGGAAATACAGAGCTAGTGAACCAGTGAGTTGAGTTTGTTTGGTGACACGACTGTGTGCCAGACTTCATGAAGACGTGGTAGTAATCAGGGCATAGTTTCTGTTTTTAAAAAGTTTACATTCTAGCAGGGAGAGAGTAAGGCAATGAATATATGAGGATACTTCAACAAGTCTGTGAGAAAATGAAATTAAAGTGCAAGTTTATTTTGGTGCAAAAACATTTTGGGACCAGCAGTTAGTGTAATGGCTATGTCGCTGGACTCCCATGTAGTTGACCGCAGTTCGAGTCCTGAACCCGGTGGCTTAAACTCACGCTGGACACGTGTGCGTGCGTGCCCAAGATCCTGAAAGGAGATTGGAGGAAAAGGGATTGCAGCATGGCCATACCCCCTGGGGGGTGATTTCTCACTTTCTGTCTCTCTGTCTCTCTCTGTCTTTCTGGCAAGCGCATGTGCCCTATAGCAAAAAAACCTCTCCCCCCAAAAAAAAATTTTTTTGAAATCCATGAATAGTTTGTTCATAATACACATTTTCCATGAACTTTTAAAAGACTGCTTATGTAAATGCATTAAAAAGGTCATTTCAGGTACTCTAGAGTTGATTAAATATGATAAAATGACAGCTAGTAATAGAGTGCTGTTTTAGGAAGGGTGGTTGGGAAATGAATTGTGGGGCAGAAAATCTGAGTTGAAAGCTGAATGATAAAGAGATTATTATGTGAAGATTTGATGGTGGGCTTCTAGGCAAAAAGAAAGAGCAAGTGCAGAGCTTCTGAAATGGGAACAAATTGGGAAAGTTAAATGGGCAGGAAGAAGGCCAGTGCGATTTGAGCATGATGAATGAGGGAGAGAATGGGGCAACTAAATCAAAAGGCCAGGATAAATTCACATAGGGATTTTATGAACCAAGGCCTGAAGTTTGGGTTATGAACTGAGAATAGAAATCATTTGAGAAGAAGTGTGAAAATTTTATTTTGTACTTCAATAAAATCCCTTTGGCTGCTCTCTGGAGGAGGAGAGAGTGAGATAAAGAAGAGGCTCGTGAGACCAGTCAGAATGCTGCCATGTTGACCTCAGTGAGAGTTGGTGGTTTAACAACAATTATGGAGGTGCAGATGGAAAGAGGAGATAGACTAGAGAATACACTAAGGTCTTCATAAAATTCATGTAAAATGTGTAATGTGAAAATCTATGCACAGGTTTCCATTTTTTTTTGCATCAAAATATATTCATACTTGCATTTCATTTTTATGTCAACTTTTTGAAGTCTTTTCATATTTTGGCATAGAACTTAAGTTGAAATTGAATTTTCTTTGTGAAATATGTAGAATAAAGAGAAATTTCTGGGAGAATAGCAACAAGTGGGGAAAATGGAAGAAAGGAACTTTCTGACAAACCATAGACACTCACATTTAGAACAGTCTGTGTGCCCAATGCAAAAACACAGAGGCTTTAACGAAATGGCATGTGGAGAGAAAAGAAACTGTACATAAATTTTAATTGCTGGTTATATATTTTCCCTTCCAGCTTCCAACTTGCAAGCTGCAATTCCTTCTTCCTCATCCCAGTGTATGTATGGAACTTCCCATCAGTATCCAGCTCAAGAAACCCTGGACTCCCATGGAGCAAACGCTAGAGAAATGGTGTCCTCCTTACCGCCCATCAACACTGTGTTCATGGGAACAGCTGCTGGAGGCACTTAAACCAACAATGTCGGGTGGGGGTTGAAACTATAAAATCTCTACTACATGAATATTAATACTCGCACAGTGAGAGTAAGGAAAATGGAATATGTAGTGGCTGGACATTATTTTTCAACTCACTCAGGCTATGGACAATCCCATACTGAATGGAGATACTTGCAGAGTTTGTCTTGCACACAAATAGTTTAAAATATTATCTCATTTTTAATTATAGTTTCAAACATTATCTAGTGGAACCAGTGGAGATTTAAACATGCAAACATTTCAACTAAGAAGATTTAATATTTTACTTTCTAATTTATTGAAAGTCTGTGTGCTCTTTCATCCCTGGTTTCTAAAAAAAAAAGAGAGAGAGAGAGAGAGAGAGAGAAATATATTTAATGCCTTTACAATACCTTTAATTTATTAGGATTTCAGAATCATTGTTTACTGTCCCTTATTTGACAAAAAGTCAAATGTGTATATTCTACCTCCTATGGAAATGTTTACAAGCTCAAGAATTAATTCAATTCATCCGAGACCAAAGTTGCAGTTTCTGTGCTTTAGAGCTTCAGTGTGATGATTTCTGTTACATAGTAATATTCTGATTCTATGTAATTGAACAGAAATGATAAATGTGTTCACCTCTTTATTTAAAAAAGATAAGAAATTATAGAACTATCATTAAAGGCTTGGTTGCTCTGAGGACTGGTACTATTTCTGAAGAATGCTGGGGACTAGCAGAAAGAGTTCATTGGGGTATGGGGTTAAAGAGTACAGTTGGTTGGTCATAACACTAATTCAAGAACATTTGCATATCAGATCTATGCATAAAATATAAAGGAATTATGGCTTGTTGATTATTTGAACTTCTTCAGATTTGGAAGTAGTCTTTATTCAAATATTTTGCTTATAAATCAAGAGTGACTAAGGATTCAGGGATCATCTGGATGTAAAGGCTAATTCAGAAATGAAGTATTCATTACACATAAATACAATTTGATATCATCTATTTATCTGTCTTTCTCTTTCTTTTCCATATGTCTTGACCAAAAAGTTTGTTATAAAGATTCCTGGCTGGGGACCAGCAGGTAGCATGGTGATTACGGTGTTGGGGTACTCCCACATGGCCGACCAAGGCTCAAGTCCCAGACCTGGTGGCTTGCTTTCTCACTTTCCTTCTTTATTTCATCAAATAAAAATAAATGAATAAAAATAAATAAATAAATAAAAGATTCATGTCCTATAACGAGAAACTTCCATGAACTTTACAGGTTTCTCCTATATTGTTGGTATTAAAGAATGAGTTATACTATAAGCACCAGGTACATCATAAATGAATGTGTAAACCCCAAATACCCATTCTACATTATGACATAATTTGATTAAACGCAGTATGGATTTGGTTTTCAGAAAGCAATAAACAATTATCTGTTAATTTATTGGCATATTGCTAACATTTGCTTAATAGTGTTCTCAGTGTAATTAATTTAATTAATGGAGTAAAAAGAGTTTGCAACAGTAGAAAATCATGGAAATAGTAAACAAAATGGTTTATTTTGCTTTAATCATATTGCTGGAGTACAAAGAAAGGCAAAATTAACAAGGGATTATAATAAAATAGCAAACAAAGTAGCTTTAAGAAGTGTTTGACCACATGTATTGGACATTAAGGATTAAAAATTTAATGTATAGTGATTATGATTAAATATACATTTGGCATCTATTATGTGTCAAATACTATTTTAGATGATGTAGAAAATACAACGATGAAAAACACACTGTCATACCTTTCATTCATTTTGATGTAATGATGAAGGGGTGATGAAATAGGAAATCGAAGCTCATTGAACATCTTTGAGTAGAAAAGCAATGTGGTGGGGAAAGTGATGTTTAGGAACATCTAACGGCCATTGAAGGGAGGAGATAGATTGGATAGGGGAGGAGTCCGCTTGAGAAAAGGCTATTTAGGAGGCTTTTTCTCTCATCCAAATGTCCATCAGATAAACACAGAGAATACTTCAAAGGAGAGGGAATGAGATGGGGAGAAAGAAGCACAGGCATCATTTCAAAGAAACATATGTATCATTTCAAAGAATTCACTGAAGGATTTTCCTTAACCCTATCGGCAAAGACTTTTCCTACCTTATTTTTAAAGCATTGCAACATAAATAGACTCAATATCGATGCCCTCTCTGTAAATGAGGGAAAATGATCTGGAGCAGGAAGAAGCTCAGAACAGGTGAGTGGTATCTCTGGGTTTCAGGTGCACCTGGCTAATAACAAGGTGCTCAATCTTAATGTCAAGAAAAGACAGATGACTAACTTGCTCTTTCCCCCAGGCCATTGGACTTGATTTCATCTCTGTTAAACATAAAACAGCGTTTCTTAATGCAGGCATTATTGGCTTTCAAAGAGGACTGCTCTATGCTTACAGGACTATTCTTATATCATACAAAATTTAGTATCCACAAACATTAAATGCCAATAGAACCTTTTATTTTATTTTATTGTATGTAGTTATAATGGAAACCAGAAACACCTTACACATGTATTTGCAAATTTTCCTGAAGAAGTAGTACTAGTCCTGCATGAATTGAAGGAAACATCTTTAATTCTACCTGGGAGCATGAGATGTTAGCTCATTGCCCTTCTGTTACATGCACCATTTAGGAATTATTTCCTTTAAGAATCTAAAGCCTGGATGCTCAAGACACTTTCTGTCTTCCTTTTTGTCAATTTAATACAGTTGAAGGATCTTGCCTAGCTTTTTAGTGTTTCTGCATTTTTTTTTTTTCATGATTTGTTACAGGGTATGTGTGCTTGCAGGAGAGAGACACAGAGAGAGACAGGGAGAGGAAATGTGAGAAAGCACTCCCAGCAGGAGCTGTCATGCCACAGATACTTCTCCATTTTCCTCTCTGGATTTTGATCATGCACACACATTTACCCAGCATGTTTTTCAAGCCACCAAGTCCAGGACTCCAGCCATGCAGTCAGTCTTGTAGGATCCAACTGCCTTAACCATCATACCACCAACTGGCCCAGTATTTCTGTTTTCAAAAGTAAATGAAGTATTAGTTAAGTTGTGTTTGGAAGTTGTGGAGTATCGATATAAAGAATGACTTGTTCAAGCTAATACTCAGATAAAAATGCAAAATTAAAGTTAGAAATTGGTATTCAGAAATGCTGTTATTACTAAACTCTTAAGGTACTGTATTTTAAATTTATATTATTGTGTTGGTACAGATGAAAGATATAGTGATAAATGAATTCCCATAAATTCAGTGGGTTTTTAACACAATTTAGAGACCAAGAATCTTCTTTTTAATACTAATAACTTAGAACACATCTACATCATTAATATAGGTTAGATATAGTCTGGCTTGTTTTCCTCTTCCTGGAGGTGTTGCACTAAGATAAATCAGAGCTTTCCTCAGTTCTATTTTTCCAAGAATGCTTCCGGTGCAGAATATTTTTTTAAGAAATTAAGTTCCAATTACAGTTGTGATGGGGAAAAAAAAAGTATTTTTTTTTGTTCCCATATTGAGAAAAAATGAGACCTTTAAGGGTTATACATGCATAGCCCATTTTGGAAATGGAGAAGGGGTGGTAATAGTGCCTTAAGAGAATGGTGCCCTGATCAGAGATGTGAAAGTCCTTCACTGTGTGGGACAGTTCCGTACACTGAAGAATTGTCCGCTACAATAGCCGATGACACATCTATGGAGAAATGGCAGACCAATAGGCTTTGAAGTGATCGCATCAAAACTTTGGCCATTTGTAGCACTTTTTATCTTTTAATATACTTTGGAACTGTGACTGCAAAACTCACACAGCCAAGGGACCAGCAGTTAGCATAATGGCTATGTCGCTGAACTCCCACGTAGTTGACCGTGGTTCAAGTCCCGGACCCAGTGGCTTAAACTCACGCCGGGCGCATGTGCGTGTGTGCCCAAGATCCCGAGAGGAGAACAGAGGAGAAGGGATTGCGACGTGGCCATCCCCCCTGGGGGGTGATTTCTCGCTTTCTCTCTCTCTGTCTCTCTCTGCCTGGCGAGCTCACACGCCCTATAGCAAAAACCTCTCCAAAAAAAAAAAGCTCACACAGCCAAGAGAAACTAATAGGCAGAGTAGGGCTAGAAGGAGAGGGAGAGAAAGGCAGAGGTAAAGAGAAGCAGAGTTTGGGAGGAGCCCAATAGGCAGCAATAGGTGGGCCGCTCTGATGGGAGACCAGATGCAGCTTCCCAGACCTGCAGTGAAACACCAGAACTGCAACTGTGCCATCCTGACCAACAAGGACAATGCTAAGTTCTCTTCTACTCACTGGAATTTGGTATCAGAGCTGTCAGTGGACTCAGGCTCCATTTAGCCACTCAAAATACAACCACTTTAATTACACTACCAGGTCCAATACAGTATGTGTTTCTTCTTTGCTGAAAAACTTGATTATAAGCTAGAGGCTCACTGATTTTATTCTTGAACGACTGAATTTATTCTCACACAAATACAGTTCATAAAATTAAGGCAAAGAATACTTCCAATATTTGGAAGTCAACCTAGGTTGTACATTTTCTTCTCTACCCCTAAAAAAAAAAAAAAAGAATAAATAGAGAGCATAAGTCTCTGAGATTAATGAATTCTGAAACTCAAAATCAAACTTGCTACTTTTAAAAAGACAGTAGGCAAATGAAAGTGGTATGTCTGAACTCCCTGAAAAGGGATATTATAGACACTCAAATTTCTATGTAACAGGAAGTGAAATTAATTATATTGCAAGTGTCAAAATTATAGCTATGAGCTCACATAAGGTTGCAGTAGTAAACTGTTCACACTATATTTGAGGGCAGATTTACAATCCAGGGTGAGTTATAGAAATTTAAACAAAAACCTTCCAGAAAAGTAAACAATAATGATTATGGCATACAGGACATTTTGTTCTTTGAGAAAGATAAGAAATGATGAATTTATATGAAAGGTTATTGTGCCATCTCATTCAATTATTGAATTCTAAATTAAATCCTCGAGTCTGTAAATGGCAGAGAACACAATCTGTCTATTCTGAAAAGTGCACTGATTGTATGAAAAGAAAATAAATTTTAGTTATTTCTTGATTATAGGCATTGGCGATGGCAGGTAAAGATTGGTAGTTGTAAGTGAACTCTGATGAGTAATCTATTCACTAATTTTGGGATATTTAATAAAAAAATTAAATTTTATCTGTGCTCTGATTAATAAAAGATTTCCATTCATTTTTTAATATCAAAATCCTATAAGCAATGCATAATTTCACTGGTTAGGGCTATGTAATATTTGAATAAAAATGTTTCTTATTATAAAGACAATTTGTTTTCTAGAATAAACAAAATAATTTTTCTTTCAGTTCTTTTTTTATAGAATCTAATCTAGCTATACAGATTTCTGATTTTTGCCCCAAATTTGTCTTTGTGTATTTTCAATAATATTCATGCAGAATTTATAAAGAGAAGGTTACTCATTTGTTTGACCATTTTAATTGTCATAGCATAAGTATTTTAATTATCATAGCATATGGTTCTAATAAAAATATCTTTGTCTATTTAGTTGCATGGGAAACCTTGGATGTATAAATGTAGAATGCTTCTAGGTTCTTGCTCTTACTACAAACTTTCTCATTATTTATAAATTCCTGTTCCTATTTAAATGCTTTGTCTCATTATTCATTTACTCTCGATAATTAAAATGTATTGCTCGAGTTTTTTCTTTTTTCTTTTCTCTCTTTTTAGGTTTTTACCACAGGGCACATGCTACCACAAAAAGAGACAGAAATAAGAAAAGCAAGAAAGTGATTTTCAAGTTGCTGGGTCTAGGATTCAAACCGTGGTTTGCCAAGTGGGAGTCCAGTACCTTAACCACCTTGCCACCTGCTGGCCCCTTGTTCATGTACTCTTAATTAAATATCCTGAGAGCATTCTTAATTAAATATCCTTAGAGCATTCTTAGGCTTAATTAGGATTTGT